AACATAGCCCCTGGGATCCCTGGGACACACAAACCCCTCCACCACGTTAAGGTAGCGATTCAAGGAGGAGCGTCAGTTATATCGTTACCACAAATTTTCAAATGTATATCGTGATAAATATTTTTGGTCATATCGCCCTGCTCTAGGTGAACCCACTGTGAAACCTGGCCCCACCCTATCATGTGATTTCCTGAGGTCAGATGGCCCAGGATGTGAGTGGGCATTAAGTTATCTGGGAAGGATCTCAAAACTGGATTATAGATGGCAGAAAGTTGGTGTCGTAAGCCCCGCCCTCTTTTCAAAGATGGACATTCACAGTGAACATAGATGCTTCTTTCACTCCTCTTTCAAACCATCTGTCGTCTCTGTCCTCCATGTGGACATTGGTGTCCTCAGAGTGACCGTGTTTATGAACTGTCTGGTGTCTCCAGTGTAGAGGTCCTCTCTGCACAGCTGTGTTGTTGAGTGTGTGTCTGGGTCTGAGCTGGAACACTGTGCAGTGTCACTGACTGTGTTTATGGTCTGCTCACTGCTTCCTGCGTGGATTAGCTTAAGAAATCATAGCAGCGTCCAGAGAGGAAGTGATGTTTACCAAGCTCATGTGTCTATGGTTCCCTCTCCTTCTCTTCTTCTGTGGTTCCATGTGATGCCTGGCTCTCGTTTTCTGAGGTTTCTAAGTGTCTGCTGATGGTTCTAGTTTTTAGCATTAGCTCACAAATGCCACAAACACTGCATCCTTTAACAGACAGGAAGTACCTGCAGGTGAGGCCACGCCGCCTCCAACGTGGGCTCGTCCTCCTCAGGGTCAAACTCGGCTCCGGTCGGGTTGGAGGACGGAGGAAGAGTCCGGAACACGTTGACTGAAAACTGAACAAAAAAAAAAAAAAAGTTATTTTAATTACAGAGTAACAAACCAGAAGTAGTTCTTCTGTGGTGGAGACCATTCTCTCACCATGATGACGGCCTCGGGGTAGATGCACTCAGTCACCACTTCACTGTTGTGCGTGATGTACTCCACCATCTCATTAAGCCCCGCCCTTTTCACCTCCTTGTACTTGAGGTCGCTGAGGGGGTCGCTGATGAAGTCGAAGAGCACGCAGCACTGACGCAGCTTCTGCACGAATAGATCCTCTCGCTCTATCGGTGGTGCGTCTGAGAGGGGAGGAGTCAAAAACAACCACACAACACACAGTGGTGGTGACATCATCAGTGATCTCACCAAATGTGATGAAGGTCCAGCCAACCAGAACCACCGACTGATGAAGCACATGCGCTATCATTGACATGCTTTACAGCCAATCACCTGGTTCTATTTTACAGCCAGGGAATTCTACTGCTGCAGTCAGCTGATTCTACTGTCAGCTGATTCCACTGTCAGCTGATTCTACTACTGCAGGCAGCTGATTCTACTGCTGCTGATTCTACTGTCAGCTGATTCCACTGTCTGCTGATTCTACTGCTGCTGATTCTACTGCAAAGGGGTCAAATGTCAGCTGATTTTACTACTGTTGATTCTACTGTCAGCTGATTTCACTGCAGCTGATTTCACTGTCAGCTGATTCTAGAGATGGACCGATCCGATATTACGTATCGGTATCGGTCCGATACTGACCTAAATTACTGGATCGGATATCGGAGAAAAATAAAAAATGTAATCC